TTTCAAAGGGGTCACCGAAGATATCTCCATTACATTTTGTAACAATAACAAAATTACAGTTATGAAGTAGCAACGAAAATAATTTTGTTGGAGTCACTACAACATGAGGAACTGAACTGTATTAAACAGTTGCAGCATTAGAAAGGTTGAGAACCACTGTTTTGAAAAGTTTGAGTTGGCTTGTGCTGTAAGGTCAGTGGATAAGGAACTAGAATAAAATTCTTAAATGAGGACCCAGTGAGATGCTCAGTGAATAAAAGCACTTGCTGCCAAACCTGATGACCTGCGTTCAATCACTGGGACTCACATTGGGGAAGGAAAGAACCAACTCCAGAAAGTTCACAGGCACACACATGCATGCGCACAAGCCCTTACCCCGCACTGCACTGCACTGCATCACACTGCATCACACTGCACTGATGAACTCACAGTGCTGGCCTGTAAAAGATCAATCTAGTCAACATTCTAGCATGGCTAGAAGGGCTCACAAGGCCCCACCTCTAGCTGAGGAGCTATTGGCAATTGGGGGGCCAGTTTTCTTCAGGAGTGTGGCCCCAGTAGATCGCTGATGCTCCAGGCTGCAGTGGATGGCCCTGCAACCATGCCCTACAGTGCATATGGGCGGCACTAACAGGATTCAATGGGTTTTAAAAAAAGACATGAAGTTGGGAGGGGCACATGGTTGGAGGGGAACCTAAGGGAGGTAGAGGGGAGTAGAGAGGGATGATATGATCACGATACACTGTATTTATCTATACAATTATCAAAGAATGAATTAAAATGAAGAAGAGTCTCTGAGTACAATGACAGATACGTACCTGAACACCAGTCATCCCGCTTCTTAACAAATGTAACCGCAGATTTTGGAATTTCTAATGTGTGAGGAATAGCAAACTGGTAATGACAGAAGCCTCTCAGTGGTGGCCCACGGCTGAAGGGCAGGGCAGTGTGGTCTGCGGCAGAACACAGCCGACCTTGAGGGGAGATGAAAATGTCTCCTGTCTCAGTTATGGTTACCTGGTGCGGCTATACATCTGTCAGACTCTCAAACAACATGCCAAATGGTTACAGCAAAACAGTTTTTTAAAGAGAAATTAAGGGACTCCAAAAATTACCAAAAATAAAACAAATCATTCTTGATATAGTCTTAACTTTGCAGACATTTACTCAGAAGCAAAGAAAAGTGAGTTCCTTTGGTCTTTTCTCAATGCTGACGTGAATCCAGACTCTAGTGAACTGGTTTCTGATTTAGTCTCTCTGAGATGGAACCCAGAAAGCGTCAGGTTTTAAAAGCACAGCTAGGCTTGGGGGCCAGTTAGTTTCATGGCTCACTGTATTTGTAAGAATCATTCTGTTTGTTCAGGAGGGAAATGACAGAGAATGCAGAAGTTGTACTTTGTCTCCTGAGCGGTCTTTAGGGAAGTATTAGCAGCTCCTGGATAGCTGTGGGTATGCCTTCAGAGGCCAGAGGTGGGGTCCAACTCACGTTTCTCACCTTATCTTTACATCATAAGTAACAGTAAGTATTGTGTGAACATTTGTAAATAACTGTGGACTTGTCTCACAATGAAGACTCTCTCATTTAGGAATGTACCCATTCTAAAGAATGTTCTATTGAGTCAAAGATGCACTGCCTTGGGCCAAATGCATGCTTCTTCTAGCTGAGCAGGCCATTGTTCATTCACTGTAGCTTCAAGAAATGTTTCCTATGTCTACCAAATACCACTCCAGACATGGAGTGAGAAGTGTACATTCATGGAGCTTTCCTCCCCTAGCAGAAGAACAGGAAGTGCGAATTTCCATGCAAGATACAGGGTGTCACTAATGCTAAACCTTAAGGAGAGAAGTCAACAAAGGGGCGGAGGAGGGAACCCTAGCTCATGAGGCTGCATCACAGTAAGATTCAAGCAGGAATTTAAGGATAATGAAGGAGCTAGCTAGGCATGAATGAGGGGACAGAACGTTCTAGGCTTAGGAGCCACTGGCAGGAGCATGGCTGGCAGATGAGCAAGAGTGGGCAGGGCAGGAGGTACAGAGGTGGCACCAGCTCGTGCTCAGCCCTAGACGCTAATGGAAGGGTCGTGTGTTTCTAGTTGATTTGGGAAGCCCTCAGTAGTTTTGGACAGAGAATGGGCAACGCTGGCATAGATCTTAAAGAATCACTTTGTTGTTGCATTGAATACAGATTATAGAAGTGTAAAGCTGGGGACACTGGTTCAGAAGCCCTTGGGAAAATGCATACACTGTTTCCTTGTGCTTTGAAATTATTTTCTACTTTGATTTATAACATTGACAGTGTAAAAAGTAATGTTTTGTCCACTGCAGACCTAGAAGCTAAAATGTTACAAGCCAAGTCCAAAGTCGCATGGCAAACGTGCATGGTCAAAAAGACAGAAGTACAGCTTTGTCTCCAGCTGAATCCATTGACTTCATGAAAGGAATCGATTATGTTCAGATTGTGCTTTAAGATGGTACTTGAAAGGGGGGCATTTATGTTAGTAAGTTTAATGTAGTTTTAAAAACATCTGCCAGTGAGCAAGACCCTGTGTGCAAAGGGAATAGATATGAAGATGTGTGAAGCTTATTCCAACCCTGTGATTTATTTATTTCTTGTGGTGATGATACTAGAGCAGTAAATGCCTAGTGAAGTGTGACATGCTCAGTTCCAAACAAGTGCTACAGTCAATGCCGTAAAAATTCAAAGAAGTCATGATGGTGGCCTGGAAAGTTTGTGCAGCAGGGAGGCAGGTACTTGTGGTAGCCAAATTCATTTTAAGTTCAAACTGTAAGACAGTAGATGATCCAAGTTTAAAATATTTTAAGTTGAGGGCCTATAATAAGAATTTGATTTGCAAAATAAAGGCAGGTTAAATCGAATTTCAGATGAGCTTCAGTTCAGCAAAGGATGACTGGGACATCTCTGGCTGGCTGTGCCATGTCCTACCGACTGCTGAGGCACACTTGAAAGGTCAACGTGGAACCAGGTGTGCTGATGCTTACTGTAATCCGAGCACTTAGGAGGCTGAGGCTGGAGGACCACAGTGTCCTGATTAGTGTGTGTCTGTTTTGTTTTGTTGTCAAATTGACAAAACCTAGGAAGAGGAAACCTCAGCTGAGAAAATGCCTCCATCAGATTGTCTCGTAGACAATCTTGGTTGACTGATGTGGGCAGGCCCAGCCCACTGTAGGTGGTACCACCCCTGGGCTGGTGGTCCTGGATTATGTAAGAAAGCAGACTGAGTAAGCCAAGGTGAGCAAGCCGATAAGTAGCATTCCCCCATGGTGTCTGCTTCTGTCCTGCCTCCAAATTCCTGCTTGAGCTGAGCGCTGGCTTCCCTCAATGATGTAAGATGCTTTTGGTCATGGTGTTTATCACAGCAAGAGAAAACAAACCAGGACAAATAGAGTCCAGCCCAGGCTACATAGCAAGATTCTGTCTTAACAATAGACAGCAACAACAACAACACATACACACTTCTATTCTGTCAAGGAATATATTTAACCTCATCTTTAAGGAGAGAAATGATGTGGTCAGTAGCATACTTAAGGGTTAAAATGGTAGTGTTGTAAGAAGTGTATGGGAATCAGGAAAAAATAGGGGTTGAGAGCTAGTTGGCAAGGGCTCATGCCAACCTGTGTATACCAACTTAACCCAGAAAGTCCCTCCCCACCTCAGCTTTTGTTATAATGCTCTTGACTTGAAGGACAGACCACAGAGACAGCTTCCACAGTTCACCTTATCGCTAAACCATCCACATGAAGATCATCTCATGTGCTCATGGCTTCCGTTCATCCTACTTTCTCCTTTCCTTGAGCATCATCACTGCCTGTCCATCTTCCAGGAGCTGGGGATGAGGCAGTCAGCAAGAGATTCAAGTTCCTGCTTCCATGGAGTTTGCCTTCTGGTGTCAGACAATACTGAATAAGCCAGTGTGTAAGAAATCCCCTCTTCACTGCCTCTCACGGTCTAAGTAGGGCCTATTAGCTGTCAGTTGGAACTTGAAACTTGAGTTAAATATGTACTCTTAGCAAGATAATTTGATGGGATACCGTACTGCAGGCTAGAAGATTAAAGAAGATAAATTCATCTGCAGAATTATTTATATATATATATATATATATATATATATATTGCCAAAACTATGGCAACTATTTTAGGCTAGTCAAGGATACTGGATCTAACTAGCTGCCTGTACTAGACTTCTTTACTATTCAAGATGAACTGTTAAAGCTCACGCTGTTTGTTCCATCAACAGTGGTGTGCTCTTGCCTTTCTTGGTTATTTTTCTGACCTCCCTGAATTCCAGAAAAGGCTTATTGTCACTGGTGATGCTCACAGGAACCCTCTGTGTCATTATTTACCAACTGACTGCCTTGGCAGAGCTATGCCAGTTCTTATGTTAACTGTAACAGTAGTCAGAAATGACATTGGGGGGGATAAATGAAAGGAAGGTTCATACATGCACACACACGTGCACACGCATGCACACACACATGCACACGCATCTTCAGACAATGTCTGAGTATTATCTGAAGTGGTATTTGTCACTAAGACACAGGTAATGGTATCATGTGTTGTTTTCTCATTGTTTTCCTCAGTGAGGACCTGTTAGCAGTGATGGATGGGTGGGGTTTGTTTTGGTCCCCGCTCCCTTTGGCTTTACTACTTCTTAGATGGGAGCCCTAACTTAGAGGATACACACAGTGTAAACGAGCCCTTTTTGTGAACAGACATTGTAAAAGGCTGCTCTTTCTGAGAAAGTATGGGGCTAGGGTGATGGGGTATTTCCTATTGTTGAAAGTTAAGGTTCGAGTGGGCTTTCGTTTGGCTAGGTTTGGACCTTCTGCTTCCAGATAAAAGCTTCGTAATAAATTGGTGATTCGCGTTTGGGCGGACCTAGGATGCCATTTCTACAGTGTTCTGTGTGCACATGTGTGCTTTTGAAAATGAGCTGCATCCACACGGAGTTGGTCACTGCGGCCTTTCTGATCCCTTTTAGATGTGAAGCCCTCCAACATGCTAGTCAACACAGGCGGACAGGTCAAGCTGTGTGACTTCGGCGTCAGCACCCAGGTAGGTCTTTTTTCTGTCCAGCCTGCTCTGTGGATTGAAAATCACCAAGGTTCTAGACAAACAGGAACTGTACGCCTGCTTGTCGCTGGGCACATGTTATTCATTTTTAATCTCTGAGCGAGTTTCCTTCATCAGAATATGATTGTTCATTGTTTAATGACAGTAAAAACTGCTGATATTGTAATTACTACTTACAAATAGCAAACTTCATTGCTATGCAGCTTGACTATGAAAGCGCTCTGGCCAGACAAAAGGGAGGACAGCGAGGGAGCCGTGCCTGGGGAGCCCGACTGGCCCACAATAAAAATTAATATTGGGAGCAACAATGGTGGAGGGCCATTACAATATGCAGCACCAATTTTAATTAATTTCCATTTGGGGCCTCCCCTGAGAACCCCGGTGATAGTGACCCACGCGCGTGCTGCGATGTTGATTTGAATTGCAGCCACCTTCCCTCCCATCCAAACACGAAGACCAAAGCGAAGGTCATCTTCGCATTATGAGTTGTCAAAGTCTGTTAGCCCTCCAGCCTCTTTAGTTCATCTCGTCCTGGGAACGCGGGGGGCTCCATTCACATCTTGAGCCATCTGACTGAAAGATGAGGGTGTTCAAATTCTACTTCAAATTGACTTTTTATTTCAGGCGGGTTTGGGGCACTAAAGCGCTGAGCATCACGCTTAAGTGAATTGTTTAAGGTTAGCTGCTATAAACTGTAATGCTGTGTGCTTGTTTAAATTGGAAATCACATCCAAAAGAAAAGAGAGATTTAATCATTTTTAATGCCTTTGTGGATGAATTTGTTCCCTTTTACATAATTTTTAGTTGATTTATGGGAGTGCTGATTGTAGGTTAAATGGGGAATAATTGCCCATTTTATTTCCACATTATCTTTATATTGTTCTAACAGACCGTTTTGTCTCATAGCTGGTGAATTCTATAGCCAAGACGTATGTTGGAACAAATGCTTATATGGCAGTAAGTAAACTTATGCAAAAATAACATTTAAAGCCAACATCTTTATCTTTATGTACTTGGAAATGTATAATTCTTAAATTAATTCTACCACTGTAGACTAGTAAGTCATAAATTACCAAGTCAATCCAGTCGCTCCCCCGCTCGTAGCTCTTTTGAGAACATGCCAGGCTTTGTGCTTGACTATCAACTTATCTGACTTCGGTGACTTCACTGGTCGGTTCAAGTGTGAAATTGCTGAGTTTTGAAGTTTAATCCTACAGAAAAATTGCACTTGATAGCATATTGGCTACTTTTCCACACCGCTTATTTAATTAACCCTAATAAACCCTAATATATACCAAGGCATCAGTCAGTAACATCGGTTGTTTGCTCTGAGGATAGGAACATGCCTTGTCACCAGATCCAAGTTAAATTCCTGATGTGGCCGGTCTGAACTTGTGGGTCTCCCAATGTTCTGCACTTAGTATCCTCTACATATATAGCTCTGTATTTTTCCTTAGTTGTTAAAGTCATGCAGATATCATAAGTTGTTCGTTTCTTTTTTTTTATACTTTTTTTTTTTTTTTTTTTTTTTTTTTTTTTTTGGTTTTTCGAGACAGGGTTTCTCTGTGTAGCTTTGTGCCTTTCCTGGAACTCACTTGGTAGCCCAGGCTGGCCTCGAACTCACAGAGATCTGCCGGCCTCTGCCTCCCGAGTGCTGGGATTAAAGGCGTGCGCCACCACCGCCCGGCAAGTTGTTCGTTTCTTTTTCTTACTGTTGCAAACAAGAGAGCTTATTTGTGACTATAAAAATCTTCAGTTTGTTGGTTTTCTTAACCCCTGCAAGAGTTGGTGGGAGTGGAAGGAACCAAGGAGAGGCTTTTCTGATATCATTTTCAGAATCTGTTTTGTTGTTGTTGTTGTTGTTTATTTTTTATTTTCACCCCTCCCCCTTTCCTTCCTTCCCCTCTAGAGTCTGCTTTTTTTTTTTTCAGTGTTTAGGATTGTTTTTTACCATGATGGTTCCAGATTTATGTAAGTAATCCCTCTCAGGTTAAGGAGACGTTGTTGGTATCACGCACTTAAAAGATTTTAGTATGGTATATCATGGGTCTTTTTAAAATGTTTTATGTTTTTATTTACTTATTGGGAGGTGCCATGCAGATGTAGTTATCCACCAGGAGGGTCCTGAGGGTCCAGCGCAGCGTGTCAGGCTCAGAGACTGGTGCTCTTATGGACAGAGCCGTCCTGCCAGTCCAGAATCATGGGCCTTATTTTCAGTATTTTTCTTGCCCCTGTGTTATCATCTTTAAAAGATCTTTGATATAGGCGGAACCTGGGTCGTCTTCAGCTTGCTATTCTTCCAACAATGCAGAGCATTTCATTTTCTTTCAAATGGTCAAAATAGTTTATTTTGATTTCCATTGCCTTTAAGAAAATTCATATTCTGTTTTTTCTCTAATTAAATGTGGAAAAAGTAGATCAGTTATTAAAGTTATTGTGTCTGCTTTTTAAACGTTAGTCTCCTCCATGGCACTCCCAGGGTCAATGACATTGGTGAGTCACTCTTCTAGTTAACAAAACCCTACTGCATGTCGGCCTCTATGAATATGAAAATACCGTGACTTGAAGAGGAAAAAAGCTATCCATGAAACAACTTCTCAACTGCCCATCATGTTCTTGGTAGCTTTAAATTGCTCTGATAATTAAATTGCATCACATCTGAGCTACAAATCCAGATTACAGTTGTCTTTCCCAGGTGTACATTAAAGAAATTACTTTTTTCCCTTTTTGTTTATGGATGAATGTGATGCGTCCATATGTTAATTGAAAGTGTGAGGATTAAAATTATGAAATGTTAGCTCAGATTGGCAAAGCTGAAATTGCTTTGTTTCTTGGGTGAGTGAATTCTAGTCATCAGCTTTGTAGTTCCAGCTGCAGAAAGCCTAAGATGCCAGGGAGGAAAACAATGAAAGTCCGAGAGGAAGAGCTAGAGCTTTGCATTCAGTAGGCTCTGGTTGGCCAAGTACTTGCCAAAGGCTGACCATCGGGGGAACGTGGAAACAGCCCTCCATTCCTCCAGTCTGGTGTTGACCCAACTGCTGTCCATGCTGCTAGTCTCTTGGGAGAAGGGTTGGGTTCTTTAGCTTGGTGTAAACCCCTGCTGTGCCCTGTTTTGGCTCTTGTAGTCCAGTTCTGAGTTCCACAGGGGATTCTGTGCCAAATGTTACCAAACTGTAACTCCAGAACCTCTCTCTGTTTTGTTCACTTGCTTTTTATGTTCTTTGTGTTTATTATTTATTTATGTATTTATAATAGTTATTAACTATTTTAAAGTTTTTGTTTGTTTATTTGTTTTCGAGACAAAGTCTCTCTGTGCAGCTCTGGCTGGCCTGGAACTCACAGAGACCTGCCTGCCTCTGTGTCCCAGGTGCTGGGGTTAAAGGGTGCACCGCCATGCCCAGCCCAGGTCTGCTTTGTGAGTACAGTTTTACTGGAATGTGGCGAGGCTGTTAGTTTAGGGCTGGGTGTGGCTTCAGTAGCACCACAGCAGCAGCTGAGCAGTTGTACAGTTGCATGCATCCATCCCTATGTGAACACTGTTTCCAGGCTGGCCTTTCACAGGAAAAACAAAGACAAACAAACGTTTTCCAGCCCCTGGTGTATGCCAGTAAAGCACATCTCAAGTACCTTCTGCTACATGAGCTGTCTCCACTGAACATGTCCCATGCTGTGAATCCAGAGGAGACACTGATGAAACTGGAAAGACACCCTCATATATGGCACCTTTGAACATGGCATAATTGAGTCTTTAGTTGAACTAAGCATAACATAGAAATTAAGAATTAACACTGTATAGTTGTAATGGTTATAATAGGATGTACAGAAAGAAGGCACTTACAGGCCAGGCGGTGGTGGCGCACGCCTTTAATCCCAGCAGAACCAGGCAGATCTCTGTGAGTTCGAGGCCAGCCTGGTCTACAGAGTGAGATCTAGGAGAGGCACCAAAACTACACAGAGAAACCCTGTCTCAACCCCCCCCCCAAAAAAAAGGCGCTTACAAACGTGCTAGATCTTCATGTTGTTAGTTTGAAACAAAAGGAACATGAGCTAGAGTAGTGTGCATAGGCAGAGACTCAGAAGGAGAGGGCAGGACTGGACAGACAGACAGCAGGTGAGGGCATGTACGGCACAACTGTGAAGACCACAGAGTTTGGACCCAGGTACCCCTGCCCTGAGCTGGCCTGCTCTCAGTTATGCTCGTAACCCCAGCACTGGGAGGCAGAATCAGGAAGGTTTCTTGGGCCGTGGCACACATGGGCTGCAAGTTGAGAAAGAAACCACTTTGTCAACAGAGTAAGGCCAAGAGTGCTAGAGGAAGACACCCAGGGCCTCCTCTGTCTTCTGTGTGTTCCTGTACACGCACAAATTCCGAGTAATCAAGTTGAAAATTTTGATGTTATGGTTTCTGAATAACTGAAAATTTGAAAATCTTCCAAGATGTTTCTCAAATACTACCTTTTGGGATAGAGTCTAAATGACTATTCTTAGCCCTGTGTGGCTGCTTTAGGAGCTTGTTTTTGTCTCCACACTCAGGCTGTGACAGTCCTTGCAAGTGTCTTTCCCTCGACACGAGCCTACTCAGATTGCACACTCTAGTTCAACTGGCCATGGTGACCGTCAGAAAGACTGGTATTTGCTGAGTACTCCCATGTAGCATTTCTCTGTTGAGGACATTACATTTTATTCTCACACAATGTACAATGTACATGTACATTGTTATTGTCACCTTCATTTTACAAAGCAGTCCACAGAAGAAGTAATTGTCACCCAGTATCTCAGAGTTGGCAGGCCTCTCACAGGAGACAGGGTCTAGTTAGGACATCAGACTCTCGTTTCTTCGAATAGCAGGTTATTTGAACCACTTCCACTATTGAAAAAGGAATGCTAGTTTTAAAAGCTTCAGACTTGTGCTGCAGAGATGGCTCAGTGGTTAAGAGCACTGGCTGCTCTTGCAGATGGTGGTGGCTTACAACTGTCTGTAACTCCAGTTCCAGGGGATCCAACACTCTTCTAACCTCCTCTGCCTCCAGGCACATAGGTAGTACTCATATATTCATGCATGTAAATATATACATATATATATATATATATTAAATGAAATATTTTACTTATATAATAAATTAAAATTTTAAAAAATCTTTAAAAAAAAAAAAAACACCCAGAAAGCACTAAAAAGCTCAAGAGGCAACAGGGAACTCCAAACCGCCAGGTTTTGAGTGAAATCCCATGACAAAAGATATTCTTTGTGTCCCCATAAGATACAGCGCCCCCCTCCAGCAGGAAGTAGTAAGAGAAGCTACGCCCAAATTCCCAAATATACCAAACTGACTTTGGAGATGTGTAAAGGTTAAAACCTTCCTTTTTAAGAAAAGAAAAGGGGAAGTGCTGTGGGATGGTCTGTATGTCAAAGGTGTTGCTGATAGGTCAATAAATAAATCACTGATTGGCCCGTGGCCAGGCAGGAAGTATAGGTGGGACAAGGAGGAGAATAGAGCTGGGAAGTGGAAGGCTGAGTCAGAGAGACACTGCCAGCCGCCACCATGACAAACAGCATGTGAAGATGCCGGTAAGCCACGAGCCATGTGGCAAGGTATAGATTTATGGAAATGGATTAATTTAAGCTGTAAGAACAGTTAGCAAGAAGTCTGCCACGGCCATACAGTTTGTAACCAAAAAAAAAAAAGAGAGAGAGAGCACGTGACGCTGAAGGCAGTGTCAGGGTCCCCTCCCCTTCTGTGCGGAAAGCTCAACCCGCTTTCCTCCGGGGAGGGGCACACTCACTCTGAAGCTGCTCCTCCCTTCCTGGAACCAGAGGGAACCTCAGAGTTGAGCAGAGAAGCAAGAGCGAAAGCGAGCAGAGTAGGCTGTGGCCAGAGCTGAGCCTGCACAGCTCTGCCTGGCCGGCCATGAGCCGATTGGACACAGGACTTCATGCTGAGGACGTGGTCTGGCGTGGCCTCTCTACCTTAGATTGCAGAAAACGTCTCCCAACTTTAAAAGGATCAGCAACAAACCTCCAAGGCAGTCAAAAACAAGACAACAGACAGGGCAGCATGAAGAAGAACCAATGGGAGCAGCAGGGAGTATAGCAGATGCGCACAGACTTAGAATCACACATTCTAACGAGGACAGTGGACGTGCACAGCCCCCAGTCACTCATGGGGGAGATGGCTCCATGGTTATACGCATCACTGCTCTTGCAGAGGCCCCAGGTTTGGTTTGTATCTCCCACACCAGGTAGCTCAAAACTATCTGTAACTCCAGTTCCAAGACATCTGGCCTCTGTGGGCACCTGCACATATACACACATACGTGTAAAATAAAACTACATCTTTCTTAAAGGCCTCACTGGACCTGGTAGCATATTGAACACAGCAGAGGGAGGGTTAATGAATTGGAAGTGCAGTCTGCAATACTGCTACCTGATCCTGCTTGACCATTTTGCTGTGTAGGGATCTGGCCTTACTCACCTAAAAGAAAACTGGTCACCACAGTATAAGTGTGGATAGCATGCTAGCCTGAGTTATGCGCACCTAGTTTGATAATTTTCTGAGCAACCCGATTGAATGGCAACTCCCTTTTCAGAGGATATAGAATGTGCACCTTGCTGTCTTCATGCCCCTGTCAGTCACACCCAGTGCTGTGTCATGAACAGTCCTGGAATCTCTTAACTGAGTATGGATCCTGGCCAAACACCCAGTCACAGGCAGTGGCTGGAGGAAGTAGAATGGGCCAGTTTGAAGATGCTGCCTTGAAGATGCTCTGTAGATTCAGCTTTTGGGGTATATTCAGAAACTGGCCAGGATTTTTGTTTGGCTTGGTTTCGTGTGCTCTTCTCTTACCCACACAGAGGTGCCTTAGACAAGAGCTGCATCTTCCTTGTTATGTAGCTTTCTGCACTGTTGACAGCTGTCAGGTGAGGAGGCAGCACCAGCCGGCCTTTTGACGGTAGCTCTGCTGTCAGAGGTCCAGTGCTGGTGGTAGGTTTTATCTTCTTTCCTGTTGTACTTGAGGGGAGAGGACAGGGCATGCCACTGGGGCTGCAGTGTGAGCCCTGCTTCAGAGGATGCGGCCTCAGGCTGTCGACCCTAACTCTACATTCCTGAGGTTCTGAGGCTCCTCTCGTGCCTAAGTCAGTCCCAGAGACCTGAGTCTACCTTGTGTGTTGCAGAGTGGGTCTCGGAGCCTCCTGCCTGCACTTGCTTGTCCTCCCCCAGTGATCTTGTTCTGCTGAATGTGGCAATAATTTCTCCATCTAGAGGCAGCTAGAACCTTGTGCTTAAGGACATCTCTATTGCCACCTGATACTTGTGAATGTGTTAACTCTTTATATCTTCCCCTCTTTTAGTTCAGTTTTCTGTTTTATTTCCAGTTCTCGGTTTGTATTTGTTTTCATAGCTCAGTAGGCAAATGAAGCAAATGTATTTAATCCCACCATCCAGCCCACCCAGATCCTTCGTGTGAGAGTGCCTCTTCTGTTGGCTTGTTTTCTCCGTGTTCTAGCGAAATAGAACAGCTTGAGAACTGCCACCAATAGAAAGAAAAATCAGAGAGAGGACGGGGAAAAGGATAGGGAGGGAGACGACATTTGATTCTTTCTTAACAAGTCTAGAGGGTTTTAGAACGGGCATCATCAGGATTTCTTTTTTTGTTGTTTAAATTGTGTGTGTAAGTGTGTGTCTGTAAGTGTGTGTCTGTGAGAGTGTGTTTGTATGTATTTATATGTGTGAGAGAGAGTGTCTGTGAGTGTGTATGTCTCAGTATATATCTGTGAGAATGTGTGTGTATGTGTATATATGTATGAGAGAGTGTGTGTGTGTGTGTGTGTGTGTCTTTGAGAGTGTGTGTGTGTGTGTGTTGGTGAGAGAGAGAGTGTGTGGGTGGGTGTGTCTTTGAATGTGTGTGTGAGTGCATGTGTGTGTGAGAGAGAGAGAGAGTGTGTGTGTGTGTGTGTGTGTGTGTGTGTGTGTGTGTGTGTGTGCATGCACCTATGCTACAGCATATGTGGAGGTCAGAGGACACTTTCTGAAAGTAGATTCTCTCCTTCCACCATGTCAGTTCTGGGACCCGAGTCACAGGCTTGGAGGCAAGCACTTTTACCTATGGAATCATTTTGTTGGCCCTCGTTCTAAGTTTTTGATGGACATAATATAATAGTTATAATATATGAGAAGGGTAAGCTCATGCTTAGAACCACATGTGTGATGAACATCCCTTAACAGTACCCTTGGCTTCATACTGTCATGTGCCAGGAGTGGCACAGGGTATGAAAGGCTCCCTGTCGGGGAAGTAGACAGGGAGACAGAATGGCAGTGCAGCGTGACAATTAAAAGTGAAAGTAATGCACAGTTGTGTGTGTGTGTGTGTGTGTGTGTGTGTGTGTGTGTGTGTGTGTGTAGGCCAGAGATCAACCTTGGTTGTCTCCACCTGCTTTTTGTTAAAATAGGGTCTCACTGAACTTGGAGCTCACCAATTTGGCTAGACTAGCTGGCATTGTTGATGACAACAATGGCAGTCATGCTTTTATTCCCACAACTGGGTAGTCAGTTCCACACGAATACCTGCTAGTACCTGTCACACTGACTAGGGCTGGATAGTGGGGTGTGGGTTAGGGTCTCAGCCCTGCCATGATTAGCTGCAGACTTGAGCGAATATTGCACTTTTGTGGGACCTCAGTTTTTGAATTCAGTTGTTCATCTAATCCTTGCAAACAATTCTGTAAGTAATGTATGGGAGGCCAAATCCTGGAAGGACAGACCAGGAGGCACTCAGTACACAAGGATTCCTGGTGAACAGAGTGTGTGTGCCAGAACATTCTGGACCAGCCCCTGCTACACAACCCAAGGGGAGGGCCAGGAGTCCCGTGTGGCACCTTGATTCCTGTCAGAAGAAACTCCACTGCATGGAATAAAACAGTGACAGGCGGTGTATCTAGGGAGACAAGCTCTGGCTGCTGCTTGCACCAGCCTCAGGCTCTCCACCCTCCTGTACAGTTGAAACTATTTCCAGGTAAAAAGCTAAAAATAAAACTTAAGTCATGGTCTTCAAGACCCTTCTCCCCAAATTCAAGTAAGTCATCTACAACTTTGCACAGTTTGTCCATCCATCCCCAGTTAAGATCATTGGATCATAGGGAGGTGGACCTAGGGTCGAGTGCTAGCTCGTTGGCTACCTTGGTTTCTGCCACATTAACTAGCTCCCTGGGGCCTTCACTTTCTTGATCTGTGAAACAGTGACAATAATAGTCCTCATAGGGACTGTGTGCAGGATTCTCTCACTTCTAGAATGCATATATGCATACATGTGAAATTGTTTTGCTGTGTGTAAATGCCATGCAAATGTGGGTGGTTCCCTATGTTGAGCTTACATTCAGTGTGTGCTGCCAGGGGTAACTTTCCGTAGCTCACAAGCTTCCTCCTGTTTTCTCACAGCCAGAAAGAATCTCAGGAGAGCAGTATGGAATCCACTCTGACGTGTGGAGCTTAGGGATCTCTTTCATGGAGGTATGTTGCTGTTTGCTGTTATTGACCTGCCTGTACTGGTACATCCCATTGGGAAGAACAGAGGCTTTGAAGGAATAACAAACTCCCACCCATGATGTTGTGTGCACTGTCTGACTCCGAAGTCCTTACATTCATATATTCCGTGTGACTTTTTAACCGAGTCTGCGCTATTCTAGAGTGCTGCTCCTCACACATCACCTGTGTAAGACATACCTGAAGTGCTTGTTAAAAACACAGGTTTGCCAGCCCCACCCAAGACCAGTTCAATCCAAGTCTCTGATAATGTGCACGTGGGAACTGTTCCCTGGGTGGGAGCCCTGCTTAGTCTGGAGCCCTGTTCTCGGAAAGGGGATTCCGTAACAGCACAGGATGATGACAGCCTTCAGTGTGCATGTGTGACATCCAAAGGGGATGGTTTTAAAAAATCAGCTATGGTCATATGGATATATATGTTGTATATATGTTATATGTCATTTTCTTAAAAAAAAACTATCTCCTTCTAATAAACAACATGTGCATGTGGGGTAGAGGTGGTGTGGTGGGGGATGTGTATGTAGTATAATTTAATGTCTTTATTTATTGCTGTATTTAGAATGGATTTTTTTCCCTCAGTGAGCCAGGTGCAGCCCCATTAGAACTCCATGCTAAGAAATAGTCTTACAACTCGTATTAGAAAGACACCTGGCTTGCTGGAATTGCACTCCTAGACACCCCGGGCACTCACTGGGGCTCTCAGAACAGTTCTCAATTCCGTCTGTTCCCATCAAGGAAGCCTTTTTTAAAAAACAGAAACATGTTTAAATAATACCACAGATCGAGTTTCCATCACAATCCTATCGCTTTTGTTTGGTCAAATACATTTTCTATGATCTTTGTAATGCATGAATACCATTGTATTTGGAAGGAAATATCTTCAGACCCAGCTCACCTGCACAGCAGGAAGAATGCCAAAATCAAATGCTCAATGTTTATTAAACCATATTCTTCTGCCTTTTCCCGAAAGGTAATCTAAGAGGAACTGTAACGTGTGCACAGCAGCCTTAGAGGCTGAAGTTAGCGGGTAGATCTCAGGACCCAGCCCTCAGCAGGATCCCAAGGGCTCGTTCTAGTATTAGCTTGTTTCAGGGGAAACTACCTCTGACATGGGGGACTCAGGCTTTGCTAGGATGGAATATCCCTTTGGTGGTTTAAACATTCTCGTTGGTTGTGTTTTATAAATGGTCAGATACAGGGCAGAATAATTGAGAGGTCACACGCTTCAGAACCCAATGTTGGAAACAGAAGACCCAGATTGTAGTACTAGCTTTGGTACTAGTTTCCTAGGTGGTCCTGGGCCAGCCTGCAGCGCCCACCAGGCTGTTTCTTCTCTGTGCGATAGTGAGGTGTGACCCCAGTGCAAACTGACATTCTACAGCTCTGCGGCTCTTCTCTTCCCTGTAGTTCCAGCAGCAGCAGCAGCAGCAGGAGGAGGGCCGTGTGCCTGGGACAGAGGTGCACCCTCACCTGTTGGGGGTGTAGAAACACTGGTAAGAGGGCTGGGAATACAGCTCAGCTGAGAGATAGCTGCATAGCATGCACGAAGCCCTGGTTTACTTGCCAGCGTGGCATATGACCAGGATGTGATTCCAGTATTCAGGGGCAAAAAAAAAAAAAAGTACTGTTAAAAAAGTGTATCGAAGCCGGATAGTGTACACCTTTGATCGCAGCACTCGGGAGACAGAGGCAGGCAGGTCTCTATGAGTTCTAGGAAAGCCAGACTACGTAGAGAAACCCTGTCTTGAAAAACAAAAAAACAAAAACAAAAACAAAAAAAAAGGAAAAGAAGCATATCCAAGCTAGTCTGAAGGAGGTAGTGAATTATATCAATTGGTACTTCTTCTTGATACTCTACTTGACTAGTCTCATAAAGAGAAAGAGAGCCCCCACCTGACTAGAGTGGAGTTATTGAGGTAAAGGCTGGAAAAAATAAATCAGAGAGGTAGCCGGGGACTGGATCACATACCACCAGGCTCAGGGCTGCAGCTGTTGCCCTGAGTGAGTGATCTGACTTCAGTTTTTAGCGGGTCACAGAGCACTCTATGGAGCATAACCGTAGAAGGACAGGCGTGGAAACAAGGGGATCAGAAAGACTAGGTAGAAAGGTTGGAATATGGCCGATAAATGTAACTATTGAAATATGCATCCTCGGTATCTTCCTAGGCACTGGGAATGTGAAGTCTAATAGAAAGAGGGCCTGCATTGTAGGGAGGGAGATTCCAGTGTGTTCATTTGTCCTGGAGGCAAACTGCTCAATAGTCTCTGGAACACTGAAGAAAACAGACTCTTTGCATTTGCAAAATTGAGGAGAACTGGACATAGGGAACTGTGTGAGAAGAGTCACCTTGAGTGTGGGGTGAGTGGGTGCCAGGAATACGAAATACAGAGCAGGAGAGCCCCATAGTGGATGAGAGCCAGGGAAAGCGGGGCCAGGGACAGGGTACTTAACTAAGGGCCACCCAAAGGAATATGGGGTGCCTGTCCCTGTGCCCTTAGAGCTTCTGGCCCACTAGGCAAGCAAGAGACATGTGACCAACTTAACGTAGTGGAGCAAAGTCACTAGAGAATAGAGTATGACCTCTGGCACATGTTTTATACCAATGTATCTTGGGTCCAAGGTAAAGAAGTACATAATAAAAGGAGAAGATTTTGACTATAGCTGAAATGTTGTGGTGTTTCAGGACTCCTTTGTTCTTAGGGTCAATGTGAGGAAAACGCCATCCAAAGGGCCTGAGACCTTAGGTCAAAATAAAAACTCGAAGGCCGAGGCTTCTCTTTCTTTTTACCAGAATATAGTTGGTCTAAATGTGATAAATACTATTCAAAACCACTACAGACAAATACCTGTAATCCCAATGTTCAAAACTGAGGCAGGAGGATCATGAGTTCAAGGCTAGCCTGAGCTACATTAAAAAAAATAGCAGGGCAGGGGAGATGGCTCAGTCAGTAAAGCACTTTCCACACAGGCACAAGGACCTGCGTTCAGTCCCCAACAGCCACACAGAAATGCAGGCTGGTGGAGCATGCTGGTAATCCCAGTACTGAGGAGGCAGAAACAAGTAACCCAGAGTTACTGGCCGGCCAGCCAGCCTCGCCTAATCATGGGGCTCAAGCTCCGAATGGAAAATCCCGTATTCAAAACCCTTTAAACTTTAAGACTCTAAGGATGTTACCTGAGATTGACTTCTTCCTTCACACACACATGCGCATGCACACATACAGCTTCACATACACACACACACACACACACACACACACACACACACACACACACACACTAGACAGAAGTGTGTGTTGAAATGGCATTTGGAAATCTGAGGAACAAATTGTATGAAGAAGCACAGTCAGCACTTTCAAAGAGCTCTGCCTCTGGTCTCACTTTTAAAACAACTCTCAGCGTATCCTCCCAAGAATAGAAGCCTTCGTTCATTCATCAGTTTTCAGCTGTATAAATGCCATGGGCAGGTTCTGCGGAGCACTGGCCAGGTGACTAGGAAGACTCTGCCTCGATAGAGAAGAAAGATGCTAGAGCCTCCGAGTGACGGGCCTCAGCAAAGGTGTGGACGAAGGCCTCGTGGGAGCAGGGGGTTGACAAAGGGTTGACATCTGAGTAGAATTAGGCTTGAGGGGAGCCTGCCACCAGGAGAAGGAGGCACTAAATGGTGATCCCTTCCCCACCCATGCAGCCCACTCTGCAGTGGACTACTGTAAACCATCTGGCAGTGTAGGAATGTAAGACTGTCTCCCAGCAGTCTCCTGGCATGTGGGCACACCTTTCTCAAGGTTTGTTGAGGATCCATAGAGGATCTGTGGTGAAGAATAAAAGATGGGCAGCAGAATGGGAAACCAGGCAAGGGCATTTCCCAGAATCACCTGGGAATCAAATAGAAAATGGAAAGTTTCCTGTGTCTGCCGAAGTCCCCAGGGCCCCCCCTCCTGTTCTGTAAGCCTTCTTCTCCAAGGTTCATCCTTGGCAGCTCCTTCCTGCTGCCCCTTCCCTGATAATGTGCTGCCATGGTCCCCATAGGGAGTCGTAACAAGACCTCTCGCCACACTCTTTCATAAAAGATAATGCTACGTGCCACTAAAGTGTGCAGATAAAAAGAATCACGGACAGCTCCATTTGTACCTTAAGCAAAGACCCTCTAATATCAGACTATCTTTCATCTGTCCCCCTCTTTTCTCAGGGCAGCAGCCCTCTGCTGCTGGGATAAAGTGGGTCTCCTCCAGATGTTGTCATCTGTATGAAGTGTTTGGAGTTGGCAAAGTAGCACAAAGATTGAGATAAGACTTTCAACCTGGGCTGAGGACAGTGGCTTCTTGGGTGGGAGTGGGGTTTGGCCCTTCTCTGCTATGTGCACAAATCTTTCAAGTGTTTGTGGCTCCCCTCCTGTGGATTGGTTATGAAGCCAAATAAAGGAGGTCTCAGTGTGTGGGTTTGTGAGGGCTCACTTTGTAGGGGAAGAAAACCCATGTGGACTTGAGTTCTTCCGTTAGAACACACCAAGAGTCGGTGTGGAAATGCAGAGAGAAAGGAGTGGACAGAGATGTGAGACCTGCATGACTGAAGGACCAAGCTGTGAAGAGCTGGAAAGTTCCTCCCGCCCCGGAAGACATGTTTGCACTTTTAGAACGCTCCTACCAGCTCCACGACTGGGGGATTTTAGACATGCTCACCCGGTGCTGCTCTCAGTACTTCAGGCTAAACTTGAGGATGGGAATGGTGGCATGCCAACAAGGGCTTTGTTTTCACCTAGTCTGAAGGGGTTTGCCTAATCTTTAGGAAGGGGATTCCAAAAACACACTAGGCAGCTTCATAATTTCACAAGCAATGCAGTACTTACCTAGTCTCACAGAGAGTGGCTGAGGAGAGTCTACTCTCTTGATTTTTCACTAATTGATTATTGTTCATATTATGCCATTGAGTCACAACATAAACCTGTAAAGAGGAAGTAAATAGCCAC